CTCGAGGAGCATGGAGCCAAGGAGCACAACGCAGGTGGGCAAGCCGCGCAGGTGTGGTCTCGGGTATCATGCGGCCGAGGAGCACGACGCAGGCGTGGTCTCGGGCAACATGGCCGAGGAGCACGGTGCAGGCGGGCTGCGGCCGAGGGGTGTGGCTCGGGCGACAGGTCGCGCAGGCGTGGTCTCGGGCAACATGGCCGAGGAGCACGGCGCAAGTGGGCTGCGGCCGAGGGGTGTGGTTCGGGCGGTCTATGGCCGAGGGACGTGGCTCAGGCCGAGGGACACGGCTCAGGCGGGCAGGCCACCCTGAGGTGGATTCGGCAGTCTACGGCCGAGGGACACGGCTCGGGCGGGAAGGCAATGTACGACCGAGGGATATGGCTCGGACGGGAAGGCCGAGGGAAACTCGGTAGTCTATGGCCAAGGGATACGGCTCAAGCGGGAAGGGCGCCCTGAGGTGGACTCGGCTATCTACGGCCAAGGGATATGGCTCGGGAAGGCCACCCTGAGGGGGGCTCGGCAGTCTACGGCCAAGGGACGTGGCTCGGGCCGAGGGACATGGCTCAGGCGGGCAGGCCGCGCTGAGGTGGACTCGGCAGTCTACGACCGAGGGACACGGCTCAGGCGGGCAGGCCACGTTGAGGTGGACTCGGCAGACTGTGGCCGAGCCGTGTAGATACCAAAGGGGGTTAGGTCGGAGCTAACCGCGAACCGGGAGGCAGTCAGGTAGATACTAAGCCTTCGCTCGGAAGAGACTGAGGCAGGGCCTAGATTCCTTTTACGAGGACTACATCGGATAGCCACCGCGGGTGCTTGACTTCTTCTATGGAGCCCACTGCCAGAAGTCGTCCCTTCTCCTCATGGCCACCCAGGCCTCCGCCGCGATGTACCGGTTAGCCCGCTGGAGCATCTCTGGCACCGTGGTGGGAGGTCGCTCCCCGAGGGACCAGAGGAATATGGAAGGTCGTAGGCCTATCATAAACGCCTGCACTAACTGAGAGGGGTGAGTGTCCGGCAAACCCTGGATCTACGTGGCAAAGCGATCCACAAAATGTGAGAGGGGCTTGTCCTCCCTTTGTTTGAGTCCGAGGAGCAGTGTCGCGGAAGGCTTCGGCCGTGCATAGGTCACAAAGTGGAGCTCGAAGTCATTGATGAGCTGGTCAAATGAAGCGATCGTTCCGATTTTCAAACCGTCATACCATGCGTGGGCTGGCCCTCTCAGAGTGGTGGGAAACGCTCTGCACATCAGAGCATCATAGGTTCCGTATAGCGCCATTTGGGCGTGAAAAGCGGCTACGTGGTCCGCTGGGTCGGTGGAGCCATCGTAAGCGTCCAAAGAGGGGAGCTGGAAGTCCAGGGGGACTATCTGATCCCGTATCTCAGGCATAAAGGGAGACCCTTGGTGTGCGTCCTCCTCGAGCTCTCCCTTGGACCTGCGAACCTCTTTCTGCACCTCGTCGAGTCGCTGGCTGACGAAGCGCAACTGGGCCCATAGGGAGTCCATAGAATCCGAAGAGAATGCCTCGAGTTCCGGGCGGCCGCTCGGGTTTGCCATCACTGGATCCCCGAGTGGGGCCGATCGGACCCGAGGCGAAGCAGGGGGCTCCGAAAGTGTCGTGTGGGCCCGAACGGGCGCCTTGCGTTGTCGCAGTGGTTCGATCGCAGGCGGGTGCGTCGGATGAGCAACGAGCGGGATAATGGTTTGCACCATACCCGTCAGAGCTCGGACTTGATGGGCGAGGTCCTGAAAGGCCTCGGATAACACGGGCGTCGAGTCGGCTGGGGCGTCGTCGGGCGGTGACAAGCCCGGGTCATTGAATATTCGCCAATATCGTTCTGATGTCGTAGCGGGGTGTTCATCACGATGGTCTCCGTGCGGGGGATGTTCCCCCGAGGTTTCAGTCGGGTGCGACCTCTTAGCCGTGGGCTCATCTGAGCCGCTCGGGTGATCACCCGACATTCCGGGCCCTCCTTCTAGAACCAATTTGTTGTGGGAAACAACCTTGAGCTGTGGCCTCGGGACTGACGCGGCTCGGTTCGGGTCCGGACGACGAGGATCTCCTTAGGGCGTTCCTTGAGCCCGCTGAGGTGGTCGGGTGCGGTGTCCGATCGGGACGAGGTTGCCTTTTCCTCCGGGCAAGAACTCCTCGCCTGCGCGTCCAGCGGGGGCCTTCAGCTTCGCACCTGCACAAAGGTCGGGTCGGGAAGCTCGACCCGACCCATCCGACGATCAAGTTAGAAGATGTCAAAGGGGGTTTCAGACGAAGAAGTCTTTTTGTGTGTCTGTTTCTCCCCCCTCTCTTGATGAACGAGAGGGTATTTATAGGGAAGCTTATTGCTTCCTGAGCTACCCGCTTGCAGGGGCAGGCTGGTAGCGTCTGACACTTGTGTTGGCGTGGCGTGAAGAATTGAGCTTGAGCAGGGTGTTAATGTGCCCCGGTCTGCATTGACCAGGTGCTGTCGCATCGATCGAGGCGTAAGGCATCATCTGACGTTAGTCGAGTCTTATCATAATTACTATCCTCATCAGGAGGGGATGTGAACGTCCACAATGATCAGCTTTATCCTACGAACGTGCAAACAAGTGGACTAATTACATATTATACAATATATTTTTAATTTTATTAATATCATAATTATAATTATTTTTTATTTATTATTTTCGTATCGATCTAACACATGATATCACGTGTTTTATTTTTCATTAATGTAACTGACAACATTAGAACAAATAAAGTTATTTTTTTTATTTTTTTATTTTAAAAAAAATTAATATAAATTTTTTAAATATAAAAATTACAAGACTAATAGGATCCAAATAACAAAACAGGTTAATGTACCAAATTTAATATATGTATGATTTATTGTTGCTTTTATGTGACAGTGAGTTTGATACACAATTACTATGATATAAAGAAAGAAACAAACTTTTGTATATGAAAAAATACAAGCAAATCGTAACACACAACAAAATTAAATGAAAATCACAATCAAACAAGACACCAAGATTTACGTGGAGAACCACTCAAACATGAAAGGTAAAAACCACGGGCAAACCAGTGATAATCTACTGTAAGAATAATAAATATATAAATATCAGAATCTTTTGCTCAAAACCGAAGCAACAATATCAAGAGAATAACTATGATATAAGGATTACGTTACTATGCACAATATCCAAAATCTCTACAGCAAGAATCTACTGTAGATCTGATCTAACTTAAGACGAGAACACTACCTGAATGATTGATAACACTGCCTGGATGATAATTTTGTGTTGGGCTGGTAGCCCACTATGGACTGAACTCGTGGGCTACCAGCCCAACACACAACACCCTATCTTCTAAGTAGGAGATAATTATGTGCTTTAGGGCACCGTTAACATACCATCTATATTATCTCTGATTGATTTAGAAGGCCGAAATGAAATGACCAGTAAGATCTCTTTTTGTTTCCATTATTTATATGGCTTCGTCTTATTTGGAGAGTTGTAAAGTCATATTATAATCAACTCGAAACAGGTAATGATGGCTGTTTTAAGATGCAAGAGGATGACGGAGAAGCTTATATCGTCCTTCGATCCGCCGGTGGAAACTGCGAGAAAGCTAAGCTTTTAGCGATCAAAATAGAGATAGAACAGTCTATTAAACTGGGAGTATCAATTTGATGTTCGGCTGCTGGTTAATATTATAAATAAGGAGGAGAAACCTCCCTTTAGGCTTTTGAATTGTTTCCAGA